CTGCTGAACAGCGAGACACAGGGTCAGTGTTGAGGGCCAGCGCTTTTCTCCTATGACTGCTCTGAAGAAGCTATTGAAAAGACCAAGAGGAGCTGCTGCAGGGAATTGAAGAGCTACAGAAACTGCCTCATGAAGCAGTGAGAGTATGACTTGGATTGAGAGAGAGAAATTTGATGACAGTGGGGCAGAGAGACGTTTGATGACATTTAATTTCCAGCCTGCTACCAAAGAGGGTTCTTTCTGGTAGGAGAGAGGGGTGGATCATCAAGGCTGTCTCTCTGGGGCTTCATTTTTGTTTAGATATTCTGGTGCAACATTTTCTTCCTATGGACTTCTGGGCAGTTATTGCACTGCTCAGGGTCCATGGTTGCAGAGCTGCCGTATGTCTGAATCCCAGGGAAGGGTGTAACCAAATGCACACGAGACTTCACTGTTCATGCATTCTGGAGCCACATTCATTAGTGAGAGTATCTGCTCAGTAATTCTCTGATTATGCATACTACCCAACCTGACCAGTGAAGGGCTGGTTTCTCTTCTAGTCCTCAGTTTAGCCAAGGGGAAGATTCTTCTCCTTTAACTTCAGCTGCCTTCAAGTCAGACACCTGGTTTAACTCAATCCCAGCTCCCTGCCCTGTCAGTGCCTAAAGCTAGGTTATTTATCCTGCCTTAAACAGGTGTCTAGGATAGCAGAGGTGACTCACCCTGGCATTGCATTTCTCACTCCATTGAGAGCCTAAATTATTAGTTTAGACAAGAAGCCTAATTGGGAGCTGGCTAGAGTTAGAGGAGATGATTCCCACCCACTGCACAGTGCTTATGCTGAGCTTATCTTGAAGAACTTGCATTAGTGTTGCTTGTGTTTAGACATGGGGGGCATGCCTGAATGCTGCCATGAAATGGAGCTTTGTAAGTGCTATTGCCACTACATGGGAACGTGGTGTGGCAAGTTCAAGGGTACAGAGGAACAGCCCATGTCTGTGGAAAATTTGAACCACCAGTCCCGTGGCCCAGCTCAAGGCATTTATGCTGCCGGGCTGTAAGGGATCTACACCTCTGCAGTATGATGAGCAAGACAGAAAAACTGAAATAAATGTTTGCACCCTCTGTTCCATTCCAAGAGATCATTGGTAGTGGCAAGTTTTCCTGTTACACATGAAAATATTTTAGTTTATTTCAGAGGCTCACATGAATTCATAGAGTTGATAACATCTCCAGACTCCAGGTCTTGTCTCATACGTTGATTCCTTCTCTACTTCTCTTCATCTCGCTGCAGTGTTTGTATGATTTTAAAATTTGCTAGTGTGTATCTTAAGTATTAATGTTTCATTCCAAGGGATGCGTTAATATAGTAAGCGTATTCATCCTGTGGCAGCCGTGGTTTGACTTCTCTGATGTAATTCACTAATGTATTTTACACTTACACGCATGGTGGGAACTCTTGACTATCTAAAGTATTAACAGAAAAGCACCAAAACATACGTGACCTCAAGCACTGAACTGATTTCTCAAAGTCCCTGTTCCTCTGTGGCAGAACACTGGCAGTTGAAGTGGATAGTAGCAACCCAGATTTTGGGATTCTTAAAACCTCTGAAGGAAGGCTTATTTTTTCCATGGTTACATAGAAAGTTAATGGTTGTTCTGCATCGTAGGAGAGGTACATATGGACCCTAGAAGTGTAAAGCTTACATGGAATGGAAGAGGGAATGGGGAAGCAGGGGAAAAAAAAGTGAAGCAAATGTTTGAACAGACTACAAGTGTGGGATTAGTAATTGTATATTTGTGCAGTTTAAATTCCATAGTACAAAATCTAGGAAAGGTGTGTTGCAGAAATACTAGTGCTGTGTGGCAGAAGTACTTGGAACTGCTTAAGTGAACAAAAAAAGGACTCTCTCTTGGAGCCAGAGAGATTACTGTCTACCACATGGAACAAGGAATATAATCTGACTGGAAGAGTGAGGTATTCTGGAAGTATGATATTCAACTGAAAGAAGAGATTAAGATAAACAGCTTTGCTTTTCGACCAAAAGAAGAGTCAAAAGGAAAACACTCAGTTGTAGCTTTGCAGCTGTCAGCAGCATGAGATGATGTAGTATACACCTTGGGTGTGTTTCAAACACAGCAGTAATGAGTGTAGCATGTGAGATGTACTACACTCCATGCAGAAATTAAACCTGAGGTATGTTTTTTGTCCTGAAGACAAAAAGAGAAGCTGATTCAGACTCTGTGATAAACTGAAAGCTGAGCGACCGTTCTTGTGATGCTGGGAGAGGTGACCAAGTCCCTGGTAAGAGACCAAATTCTGATTAGGATCCTGGCACAAGAAAGACAGACTTCTAATTAACCTTTCACAAGGCAACTGGGGCTTGCCAGTGGAACTGACTCATTGCTGAATGAGGCTCACTGGGGGTGTATGGGAATGCAACAAGTACTTACAGGGTGACTGGAAGAACAGTGCAGTCTTAAGACCTCTTTGGAAGGGACAAAGTGGAATGAGATGTATTTCAGGTAATACAGAATATGGCTGAAAAAGCTCCATGAATCATACTCCTGAAAAAGCTATCTTAGCTCTCTAATTGTTTTTGTTATGATTAGGTATGCCTTTCATGGTTGCTTCTGTAGCTTTAATGGAACAAACTCAAATTCTGTGTTTTCACAGCCAGATTACTTAGAGAGAATTTCTACCCAAATCCAATCTTCAAGGCTCAGATCCATCCTTACACATAGATCAGGATTTTAGAATATGCTGCAGTAACTTCTTTAATAGAAAGTAGAGTTTAGTTCCAAGTATCATCCTCACTATCCCTACAACTGTAGTTAGGAACCAATTATACTTGTCTACTAATGTCTTGCAAAGTATTGAAAAAGTAGCATTGGAGTGTGCTTATCAGCATTAACTAATCACCAAGGAAAATGTCCACAGTTTCTGATGGTCTCTTTTCTCCATTGCCTAGACACATCAGGACCCCAAAATTTGACTGTGTCTGTCAGTCTTTTTTATGTATCATTTGTCCAGCAAACAGTGAAGCATCTGGTTTGAAGGCTTGCTCCTGGCACAAGTGGAAACAACCCAGAATACTAGGGTTCTCTTGTTTTGGAATATTATTTGAAAGGCTGAGTTCCAAAAGGGAAGGGAATTATTTACACATCTAACTTCACTTTCCCAGTTTTCCAGCTGAAGAGGGGGAGAGAAACTTGTAGGTGATGTACACATCCCTCACTCAATGGCAATATTTTTGCAGGTTTCCACATTTACCTGTGTTTCCATTCCAGGGGTGGCTTTTTTCAAGGAATTCCCATTATCTTGCATGTCTGTGGCCTCAGAAGACCTAGGAGCAGACCTTGCTTTCTTCTTCTGGTCTGTGGACATCGTCTGCAAACTCCTAATGTTCCCTGTGGTTTTGATTTTTCCCAGTAGCTCTGTATTTGCTTCAGTGCTTAGCATATTGCTCTGAACAGTGACAGAAGTAATCAGTAGATAGCCAGCTTTCATAAAGCACAGTATTCTTTTCTTCTTTTTCTTTTTAGAAAAAAACCATCAAGCATGAAATGTATTGTAAAACAACACACAGTTTATACACCTCTAGTTTTTCAGACAGTTACTTTATGGAGATGTTGGTGGGAACAAAGCACTTCAGATCTTCCAGTGATGCCCATTCTTTTTGCACACTATCTTATATCAGTTATCAGGTGAAATATTAATGAATATTTAATCAGGCCAGTAGGTTTTATTATTTGTTTGTTATCCAGGCCTCTTTTATGAAGTCAGGTATTACACAATATCCAAAAAGACAGAAACTTTGAAAAGCTGACTACATGCCTTGCATTTGCACTGAGAACCTGCATGAATTATTTCCTTATTGAATTTTCATTCCTGCAGAAAAAAACTTCTTATCTGACCCATTTACCAGAAATACCACCCTAGCAAAGGCATAGAACTGCCCATAACGTGTATTACATAGATACAGCAATCTTCGAATGGTTCTTGTGTCTATTTATCAAAGGAGACAGTTTAATACAGTAACTGGAACAGTGAAGGTTAGCATCCAAATTTTTAGACTTCTCTTTTCAGAGGTGCAATTTGTACATGCAGATTTCACCTAAGGTTTGGTAGCTGCAAATAGATAAATGGAGGAACAAAATGTCGATGATTAGTTACTGGATTTTTTGCAGCAACACAGAGAGATATGAAATAGCCTATGATTTGTGCCTCCATTCATTTGCAGAAATAAAAGGCTATTGGCACAGTAATTAAATTAATTATTTATCCATTGGAAGAATGACAGACTTCAGCAAACGAAGCCCTAAAAGTTTTGTTCTCGCGTGCCCTGGCCACAGTTCTTAGCAAGTTTCATAATGGATTTTATCAGCATTAGTGCTACCTGTCATAACTACGTAATTACAGCACCTAATTATATTATTACTTATTTACTCTAATTATGTAATTGGATGTAATTGGTGCAATTACATAACTCCTCAATCAGCTGAAAACTGCTCTAAAACCAGCCTATGTTTATAAGACTAAAGGATACTGCCGTGTGTTAGACCATCTCCCTAAAGCAGGGCAATCTTTGGTGGGAAATTAAAGGTTCTGTTCTCCTGTCTTGTGGT